GAGTCAGCATCAAAAGGATGCCAATAAATGACTACTCAGTAGGGGTAATTAGCTGCTAAAGATTCTTTTGCTCCTAACAGTATGCTTGCACTGGTCTCTGTTGTACTTCAAAGTAACAATGTTTTACCTTAATTTCTTATAAAAGTAAGTTTTGTTTCAGTCTAGCATTCTTTCCTCCATCCAACCTCTCAGAGTTCTATTAACAACAATATGGTACCTGGAAACTTATGATTATATCATCAGTGACCAGTTATTAGGGTAGCAAAAACAAACATCAAGACAAGGGGAATATAGGGCACAGCCCTATGCAGTTAGAAAACAAGTAACCGAGTGACAGAGAAAGGGATACTCTAAGGGTTAGAGACAGGTACAAACTCAGGAGATGTACATTTTTCTAACTGTGATCATCCAAACTGTAACCTGTGATTCTGTGAAGAGTTAGTGCTTAGTCAGTCTAGTTTGTTTTTGAGGGCTGAGAGAATCTAATCGCTGTGGTATTATACACACTAAGCCAGCATCTGGCAGAAGGTAATATTTACTGTGTTATCAAATGAGTATATACAGGCATTCCTTGTTTGATGACCGACCTACAGTCCAGTCCTGCAACTAGGTCACTAAATGAACTGGTCACTAAATGAGAAATTGTATTACAATATTCAAAACGAAGAAATGGTCAGAGGAAACGTCAACTTAATTTTGCTTTTATTTGTACAACTCTTACATGCAGAGAGATACTGGGAAGCTGAGGAAGAGAGAGGGAAAATGGCAGGTGAAGACTAGCAGCTCTGTATTACATTCTATGTTTTTGGTCTATTACTTAAAATGTTAGATTTATCAAAATACCTACTAGTTTGGACTGAATCCAGAAGTAAGGACTGAACTCCCATTAATTGTATTTTATGTTGGGCAGTACAATTGTAGTTTGGGGACTGGGAAAGGAGAAAAGAGTAAAAGACCACAATGAAGGTGACAGCTTTAGCATCAAAGCTTACCTTGATTGGTTTGGGGAGGTGATCAATAATCAGCTCCTGAGCTTTGTCCCTTATCTGTTTTCAGAACTGCATCCTGAAAGCATGAGGGCTGTTCTTTAACAAGTTACACAAAATAGAACAGACCAAATATCAGGGACCATGTGGGGTACAGAAGAGCTGGGCATCCCTGTTTTCTATTGACACCACCGATTGAGAAAATTTACTCACAGCACCGAAGAAAATATAAGCTTATGCTCAGGAATCATTTCAGCAAAACTGCCTTTGTCTTCCCTTCCCAACTGACTTATGAGGCCTCAGCTTCACAGCCTCTGTAGAGAATGATAAATTATATGGTATAAGAACACACAATACTATCCTAACTGTACAGCATCAAGTTCTCCTAGGGGAAGGCCGGCTGATATTAGGAATTGATCCCGTTTATCCTAAATTGTAATACCAATTACACAGTGATTAAGAACAGAGTCGATCTAGAGACGTGGGTACCAGTAACTAGAATATTTGTGGCAGATAAGACTCAGCCAACTAGTGCCTTCCACTGTGTCATGAATTTTTAGCCTTCGACTTTCTCACCAAGCAGGAATGGACCAGAATTGATTCAGTGGGAATTCTTTTATAATTCCTAATTGTTACTTTTTTTTTTTTTTTTTACCAGAGATCGAACTCGGGACCTTGTGCTTGCACGGCAGGCACCGGAACCACTGAGCTAAATCCCCGGCCCTGTTACCTTACATTTTAGTCACTGCCTGAATCTTATGGCAAATTACTCCTGTGAAAAAAGGTGAATTCTTCTTGGCAATGGATATGTTTTCAGTGGAAGACAGTGAGGTAACGCTGCCATTGTGGCAGAATGGCTGTGCAGATCACTAAACTTCCCTAGTTTACTCATTAATAAAATCAGTCTGATAACCTGACATGCATACTGCCAAGTGTTGTAATGATCCAATGAAATGTTCAGGGGAATCCTATGAGCACTAAGTATGTCATTCATAGGAGAAACATTACTAAAGTCTTATGTTGTGTATGTATTAATGCAGCATACTGTTAGTTTATAAATGCACTTTTGTGTGCTAAGTTGAAAAAGCTGACTTTTGGATTTATAATTCCTACAGGGACCAGAACCCCAATGCAGTCCTTAGCCCTATTTCTGCTCTCTCACCTTCTGGTTCCTGAACCTGGATGAAGGGCCCTCCAACTCCTGGAATGGCTTCATAGTACTTATCACATGGATATAGTTTTAGCTATGAGAATGCTACCATTAGACCAGATTTCCACAAAACTAATTCAGAACACTCTGATATTAAGTTTTATTCATTCTAAAATTTAGAAAAACAAAAGCACTTTCTGTTTATTATTATTTATTTTTGATACTGGGGATCGAACTCAGGTCCTTGCGCTTGTGCAGCAGACGGTGAAAACACTGAGCTAAATCCCTGGCCCATAACTTTTGTTTATTAAATAAACATATACTATGATTACTTAGAATACTTGTAATAAAATCAGTGGTAATTATTTACTATATTCAGCCAAAAACCACTAAAAAAGCTACGGAGTTGAATTTAAAATTACAGTTAAAGGTATTTTCCAAATAACAATATTACCTAACAGGAGCTTTTACTTATAAATGGTTCTAATTACTCAAATGAATATGACTATTGTTCTGTATGGCAAGTTTTAGAAATGTTACCAATAAAAAAAAGTACCCTCCATCTACCTACCTCTCTACCAATTAACCATCAGTAAAAATAAACTATTGGAGGCTAGAGCAATAGCTCAGTGGTACACCAGCTGCCTAGCATGCACAAGTCCCTAGGTTTGATTTCCTAGCAAACCAAACAACTATTAGAAGTGTGATGATTACTACAATTAAGAACTTTTCTCTCCATGGACAATATGAAATGGAATTAGTTCACCCCTTCATCTCCTCCCTTCCTCCCTCCTTCTCTTTTATTTTTCTTCCTTTCCTTTCCTTTTCTTTTTTCTTTCTTTTTTTTTTTGGTACTGTGGATCGAACTCAGGACCTTGCGCTTGTGAGGCAGGAGGTGGAACCACTGAGCTAAATCCTTGGTCCCCCTTCTTTTTTGATGCTAGGGATTGAATCCAGGGCCTTGCACATGCTGAGAACCCAATCTACCACTGACTACTCTATGGAATCGAATTTAAAAAGCCAATGGGAGCCTAGGGAATTACATCAACTAGAAAGAGACAGTTCTTTTGATTAAATAAGTTCTTTTGATTAAACACTGATCTCTTCACTTAAGGGCAATATTTTCCCGTTAAGATGAAATAAAATAGATGGGTTTGGCCCAACTATTATCAAGATGTCTATCTAAAAATGCCCCAGAAAGTGGAGTATGTTAGGCAAGGGCCAGGAATTATCACACAGAGGGCGTCCATTTTATGTTTTTAAACATAATTCTTAGGGATTTCACTCAATGTTGCGCCTTCTTCCTCTGTGTTGAAATGAAAGTACAGTTCCAAGTGACTTAATTTGAACTGAGAAGTACAAACAGTATCAATTTTCTGAAGCTAGTTATATCTAGTTAGGAAATCAAACAAGGCTAAGGAGCTACTGTTATCAAACACACGGAGGTGGTGCTTGAAAACTGCTTTGTGTGGCTTCCATTTTGAGACTAGTCAAGCTAGCCTGCCCAGAGGCCTCTCTCCATATTGTTTAGTACTTAAAAGAGAAACAAGAGAAACTTTTCATGTTTGCAGCACAGTAGATCCAAAGATAGAATCGGAATCTATGGCTGTCAAAGAAAAGAAATGAAGAAAAGTGTAGCAAGATAGAGGTAACAAGTAGATATAAATATATTTATTCTGGGCTCTCTGAATTGAGTCTCTAGGTTTCAACTGTGATTTCAGAAAATGAGATATATTACAACCAAAGAGTCTTTCACAAGATTTTTCACATTATTTAGTTCTTAGGTTTGTCAGGGAGAAGATGTACAAGCAAGGGATATGTATCCTGGGATAATCCTTTACAATTAAAAGGGAACTGGAGCTCAAGATAATAGGGTACCCAGAAGAAAAACATTTTACTGGACACAGAGAACAATTAGCAATATTTTGTGTATGAAATGACTTCAAGACAAATTACATTTATATCAAGTCCATACCTGATTTAAGATAATATAAGTACTATCCAGAGTATAATTTCCCTAGATGGAATGTTAACGGTCTCCTATAGACTTTTCTATGGGGAAAATGCAGGCTGAGTTTCAAACAGCAGATTCAAAGCTTTGAGAATCCAGCTACGTATTTTATAAGTTCAGGTTATGGGGACATTCTGTGTTCCTTAACAGTGAGTCAATTTCTTTGTAACACTTGTTTCTCTCACTCTTGTATTACTGTCTCCTCTCATTTTAAATATCCCACATATGGCATCATTTCCTTTGTTATAAGAAAAAAAGTAAATTTCCTACTGTAATTTCATCTAAATTCAACACCAAACAAAATAATTTACTTGAAATCAGACAAATTTCTGACTTTTATTTTCTATGGTCTTTACTCCCTCTAGAGGGAGGAAACAGGAATGAAACACCAATCCTAATCCCCGCAGTTTTTTAAAGTAAGCCACAAACAAAACAAAACAAACCCCCTGGCCCCTAAAAAAACAAAAAACAACCAAAAATGAGTTAAATGTGAAAGTGTTAACTAGCTGAAACTTCCGGGAAACGGTGACTTTCCTACTGTTATTTACCCAACTGAGCCTATTTGTAACCTACAAGTATCATGATAAAGCTTAGCAAATATCATGAAGCCTGTTATGTGATAGTAATGGAACATAATGTTTACATATGAAAAAACTAATAACTGTGGTATCAGTAAGCTCAGCCTTATCTGGAAGTCTAGAAATAGCTAAGTCACCTGAGTAGCAGATAATAGGTCTAATATCAAGTTTGATACTGAAACTCATGATATGTAGGATAGTGCTTTTTTATATTTATAAATGGTACAACATACTATTTTGGGAGGTCTAATATCTAGAAAAAACAGATCATAGATGATAGGCAGAAAGATAAAATTTCATTTCCATTCAACTCAAAGAGTAAAAATTCACTTAGTAAATTTCATTTATTCTTCTTTTAATCTAGAGAATCCTGATGCTGGAGCATGTTACTTTTTTTTTTTTTAAATTTGAATTCACTTTAATATTTCTCAAAGTGGCATGTGGGACTTTGAGCACGGGAAGAAAAAGTCACAAAGTCCACAAACTCATGGAGGTGTCAGCTCAGAAGGCTGGAAATTACTGCATTATTGGGTCAGTTCTCATAACAAACATCTCATAGCAAAGGCATGTTGAGTTTGGTCTCATTCATTACAGA